CTGGGATTAAAGGCGTGCGCCACCACCGCCCGGCTGGCCTTGATGTATCTTGACTTCTTTCACCACCATGTGAGCTAGTGTCAATGTGTTACATGAAAACTCTTCGGTACTAGTGAGAGATGCTTCCGTGTGCTGTTTTACAACTAAAACATGGCCGTCATGCCTTTGAAGGTACATATTCCAGGTGGGAATGATCACCTGAAAATCCGATTTTATTAAACTGTTTTCCAGCCTTACTCCTTAAGTCAGTCTATAGCCACAGCACAAATCATAATGAGAGGCTGGAACTCCTGTCTGAGATAATATATTTGTTTGATCATTTAAAGAAGACAGATGCAGGCGGCATGGTGGTGCATACCTTTAATCCCAGCACTCATGAGTTCAAGGCCAGCCCGTTCTGTAGAGCCAGATCCAGGACAGCCAGAGCTACACAAAGAAACCCTGTCTCTTAACACATCCCATGAGCAGCTTGGAGGACAGCATTCAGCATTCCCTTTCTAAGGAATTTTATTCTTGAGGAGCAAATAAGTGCTGTTTCAGATCTGAGACTGTGTGTGTATGCCCATGTGACATACATGAAGATAGATGATTTTATAAAATACTTAGGCATGTTATGACATGGTGTTCTGATTATATACATGGTTTCAATGAATGTTTTTTTATGTTAGCATAAAAAATGGGTTTCATTGTGGCATTTTTATTTCATCTTTATGTCTAGCGTGTGTGTGTGTGTGTGTGTGTGTGTGTGTGCGCACATGCATGTATGTGATTACACATGTGCCATGGCAAGTATGTGAGGATCAGAGGACAGACAACATGTAGAAGCGGCCTCTCTTCTATCATGTGTCTACTAGGAATCCAGCTCAGGTCATCAGGCTTGGTGGCAAGTGCTCGCACCCCCCAGTCATCTCACTGGCCCCATTATGGCACTGTTACACACATACGACATTCTACTTTCTTCTCATTCACCTTCCCCGACCCCGCCCTTCAACTGCTGCCCCCACCCCAGACATCGAATAACTTAGATACCTTTGTTTACTTCTGTCTCACAATCAATTTACCGTAAATTACCCCTCCTTATCCAGCTAAATCAGAGCTAGGTCACCTATCAATGATGTATGAATAGTCAAATCAAGTAGCTTCAAAACACTGGAGAAACAAGCATAGGGAGATCCCATCCCCCAAACTCAAGATGACAAAAATAAAATGCCTGACTGGAGGCAAAAGGTGCAGCTTCCCTACAAAAATACTACCAGACATGTCTTGTTCACCCATGGGCCTCCAGGCACTGTGGACTCCCAACCTCCCACCCTCCCACCATCAAATCCCCATCTTTTAAGTCTAGGGCAATAGGGTGTCAGCGGGAACAGGCAGGCCTGGTTTCCCTGGTAGACTGGCTTGAGGGTTGCTCTGGTAGTCACTCTGCAGGGTGAACTTCCCAAGCTCTGGCTTCTGCATCCAGTGGGTTAAAAAACCAACCAGATGTAGGCTGAGACGTCGACTTGAGTGTTTAACTAATGGTCAACATTTTGCTTCCTTGGTGCGCACAGTCACTAAAGGCAACATGGTTGAGGCCAGCTAGCTATTTAAAAGCTATCAAGACCTTTTAGGTTTTACAAAGACCTTTTTATAAAGGACGGAGTAATCAGAATACTTGCACCAATTTGTGCTTATGGCACAGCCCTATCTGATGGGAACGGCAAAAGTCATAAGGCCAGCCGGCTGCTTGACAAAGATCCAGCAGAGCTGAGCCGCATGATGGCCACCATGCCACCTTTGATTTTATCTCTACCTGTTGCATACTTGGGGCACTTTTAATATTTGTACAAGTTGGGGATATTGGACTGATGGAAAATTCCTTATGAATCATTTATGCCTTTCTCCCAGGAGTATTGCTTCTAATTGCTTCCCCAGGAAAGTCCTGAACATGCTACCCCTCCCACTTTTAGGGAGATATTCTTATCGACTTGAAGGTCTTCCTCATGCTTTGGAGGTTGTGACAGATAAAGAAGCCAGAGGTCTCTTTAGGAGGCTATGAGACATTTTTTAAACTTCTGTCTTACTCAGGACGAGATATTCAAAACAAAGTAAACTTAAAAAGGTTAACTAATTCAATGGGCTAGAGGAGATCAGATTGCAAACCTCTTCCCACTAATCACTCAGGCAATTATGTGACATGTATAGCAACATAGTCAGATTAGCTGGTTATCATGTCAGATTTTGAATAACTGCAGCAGCTTTGGCCTGGGGATTTTTCGTGGGCACTCTGACATTTAAGAGTTAATAAGGCGGCAGCCGGGCGGTGGTGGCCCACGCCTTTAATCCCAGCACTCGGGAGGCAGAGGCAGGAGGATCTCTGTGAGTTCAAGGCCAGCCTGGGCTACCAAGTGAGTTCCAGGAAAGGCGCAAAGCTACACAGAGAAACCCTGTCTCGAAAAACCAAAAAAAAAAAAAAAGAGTTAATAATATCCTGCTTGGGACATGACAATATGCCCGGGCTGGCTTGAAGATTTTGTTTTGGTCTAGCATCCTTGAAGCAACCAAAGCTACCAGCCTGAGAACAGGCTGTCATGTGCCTCTAGATTTTTAAAAATTGGGTTCTGGGTTAATGAGTAAAAATGATAACTCAGTTTATCAATGATGTCAAAACTTGAGGGAAAATGATTGGAAATGATAAATCTGCCATAATTTACAATGATGACTAAAAGATGAACAAGAAAAAGTGAAACACATGTCCAAAAACAAAAATGATAGATCTATGTTTTGAAAGAATATAAATCTATCCCTGCTTACTAAATTCTGTATAAATAAAAAAGCACCCTGGCTGCTATTGAGTCAGGCTGAAAGATTCCCCCGACCATCATGCCTGGCTCATTCCTTCCCCTGCCAACTCCTTACATCCTCTGCTGGGACCTGTCCACCACTGGGAATGGCTCCTGGCATGCTTGCTCTTGGCTGGGGCTTTCACACAGGACTTCAGAAATTCTGCAAACCCTACACTTGTTCTCTGATTGGGGAGACAGCCCTATACCCTTACTAAAAACTCTTACATTTGATGGGGTAGGATTGTATCTGTGCTGCTAAATTGTACAATCTTTTCCAGCATGCAGTCAATGCAGAATTTTGCCTAGAAAGTTCCTGCCCCCTACACACCAGAGGACAGTGAGTTGGGGGTGGTTAATCACAGTGGCAGGCCCCATGCGTGGCTCCGATGCCTGTGGAGTGCATGCTGTTCATTCAGTCCGAATTCTGGATCCACTGACTCTTATCCAAAGAAAAGGAACATCTATCATTTACATATTTCTCTGTACTGAATTTTGCCTGTGTATAAATGTTTAACAATTACTAGTAGTTATGGAATTTTATTGAAAACTACTCTTGAACTTATTTAACTGAATATTAATTAGTCTGTATATATACCATGTAAATAAACTAATCTCTTTCAAAATTCTCTTTCAGACCTGAAGATGTTAAACAAGTCACAGGAAACTGCTAAAACGGAATCTATACTGTTTGAATAACCTATGCAGAATGAATTTTCATGTCCAGATTTTAATTTTTTTTTTTGAGACTTGAAATCAAACCCAGGGCCTAAAATGTAATAGGTGAGTGGCTACCTCTGAGCTATATGCTAACCCATTAAAAAGTAAAATTCATTTGAGCAAAAAAAAAAAAAAAAAAAAAACCAGACAAAAGCAATAAAAAAGTAGCATAATTCAGAAGGTGACTGTTTACCAAAGAGGAGACTTGTAAATAATGACAAAGTATTTTCCAATGCATATTTGTAAATCATGGAAGTAAAACATCCACTATATTAGTTCACATATTTTCCAAATTAAAATTCTACATTGGTTTAAAAAAAAATCAATCACCTGATGTAGCTGCTTTTAGCTGTTTTTATTTTTTATTAATTTTTTATTTTTCTTACAATATATTTTATCATATTGTTCCCTTCCCCTTACTCCGCTCACATCCTCCCTCTCCCTCTTCCTCACCCGATTCCCTGCTCTTTCTTGTAGCTGCTTTTACTATTTTTATTTTCGTTTTAATCAATGCAATGCTCTTCTAAGCATGTGAGCCTGTTAAATTTTTTTCTATTTTTTTGAGATTTATTTTTTATTTTATGTGTGTGGATGTTTTACTTACATGTCTGTCTGTGCACCACATGTGTGCAGTGTTTGCAAAAGGCCAGAAGAGGGTGTCGGGTCCCACGGAACTCGAGTTAAAGGTGGTTGCTAGCTGCCTTTGTGGGAGCTGGGAATCATTCCAGGTCCTCAGGAGCATCTGGTGCTCTTAAGGCACTGAGCCATGCCTATAGCCCCATAGGTATCTGCTTTTCCATGGCTATTCTAGCTCCCTCCTGCCAGTCACTCATGCCTTCAAGACTCCATGTAACATAACCGGGCTAAGGAAACTGCAGCAACCGATCTACAAAATGAGGAAGATCCAGAGCTCAGCCAAATCAACACATAGGAACCTTGGCCTCAGAACCCTGTTGCATAGCAACCAGACTGCCCTTCATCCCTCACCTTGGGGCAGATGCTTTTCTCCCAAAGAGAGTTTTCCTGTGTCTTGAGGTGAACCTCACCCCACCAAGGAATCACTGAAGGATAGAACAATGCCAAGATAATTTGCTAGGCTATTCAGCCTTTCAAATAGTTACTCAAACCAATGTAAAATAGCTATTGTCATCTAAAGGGTCTCTCATTTATAAAAAGGTATTCCTACATACTATAAACTTAAAATCACCCCAGTTCTTCCACCAATTGGCCACTGATGACACTTTTCCTATGGAGTTTAATTTGCTCAATCATGTTACCTATAATCTCACAGCCTAGTCTCTTTACCTATCATAACATTGTTCCATGTGAAAATTTCACATGTTTTCCCCCAGTGGCTGCCTAATATTCCAGTATATGGCAATAATAATCTAGGAAACTAAAGGTTTACTAATTCTTGGGCACTGAGATAATTACTCATTTTCATGACATTATTAATAATGCCATTGTGAGAAATTACCCACAAACCCTCTGCACACTTTAGCAAGTCAGAAATTTGACTAAATCCACAGCATTCAGCCAAACATACCTAAGGAAGGAAGTACCATCCAATGTTCCCAATGATGGCAGACATCTTTTGATCTTAAAAAGGTGTGCCTTAAATTGGATCATTTGAGTTTGGTGGTCTTGGTGGTTTGAAATCATGGTAGTGCTATTTGACTATGGTAAAATTCAAATTATCTTAGCTATAATTGTAATTTAGCAGTCTCAGTGGCTTTTTGAAGAAAGTCAGATCTGAGACCTCATCATCAAAATCATGAAAGCTAGTCAGGGCACATGCCTGCAATCCCTGTGATAGGGAAACTGAGGCAGGAAGACTGTGAGTTTGAGGCCACCCTTGGCTCTATGGTAGATACCTGTGTCAAAATCAAAATAAAAAAAAATGAACAAACAAAACCCCCCATAGATTGAGATTATTCCAGAAATGAGTTCTCATTGGCCTTCTATGAGCCTCTGTATGTTCATCCATCTTATTTTCCTTACCCTGCCTTTGGCTTTAATTTAAAATGAACAGCTTGTGGGAAGTCACTTTTAATCCCAACACCCAGGAAACGGAGGTCGGCAGATCTCTGTGAGTCTGCGAATCCTGGTCTACTTAGTGAGTTCTAGGCCAGCCAGGGCTACAGGGTCAGACCCTGTCTCAAAAACAACAACAGCAAAAGTACAATTTTTGTGTTTTTAATCAGTTGAAATTTTATTTTATGGATGGGATCACACCCCTCAGAGAGACTCCCCCCACTTTAATATTGGGCTGTGCTCGCTGGGCTGCGCTGTGTCTGTCAAGCCCTCTCTGTGGTTCCAGAGCAATGCGGAGCTGCCCATCCTCAGGGCTCCTCATAGACCAGTGTGAACACCGTGTGGGCCTGTGTTAGGCCTTTGTCTTGTTTGCTCCAAGGCTGCACAGGCAGTCTGCAGCCAGCTGCACCTTCCTGTTTGCTGTACTGGGCTCACCAGCCGGTACCTGGGACCCTGGGGCAACAACTCAGTGCTATGCAGCGGTCACTGGACTGTTGTTGAGTGTCTTTTCTAATAGCGCTGCAATAAGGCTGCCGCTTTGCTGGTGCGCACACGTGACGCTGTAGGTCTCTGCCAACTTCATTCCATCCGCCTCTGAGCTCCCTGGGTTTACTTCCAAGCTTACTTTCCTCTGTCTTGATAATTCCTGGACATTACCTAAAGGCATCCTGGAATGTTTGGAGATGAATCTCCAGGTGCCGAGAAAACCACCAGCTGGTTTCAGCTGGATCCAAGCAGGAATGCAAGATCAAGTCAACCGTTCTGCACTTCAGGAGCACCAGTGAGGATGGTCACTGAGAGCCAACTGAACCTAACTTCTGTATCTGCGATGGTCTGAATGTTTACAGCCCCTCAACTGGTATGCTTGTATGCTGACCCCAGCACAGCTTTATTTGCAGAGAAGGCCTCTGAGGAAGTAATTAAGGGTAAATGAGGTCACAAGGGCAGCACCTTGATCCAGGAGGTCAGGTCTGGTGTCCTCATGAGAGACAGAAATTTGCTCTTTCTCTGTGTGCACACTAAGGACAGGCCATGAGAACACAGTGAGAAGGCTGTCCTCTGAAGCTGAACTGTCTCCAAAACTTGGCCTTGTGCTTCTAGAACTGAGAAAATCCATTTTCCTTGTGTAAGCCAGTCTGTTCATTCTGGTAGGACAGTCCAAGCAAGCTGACAACAGAAGGTATACAAGGAACGTGGAATGCAAACTGTTTGCTTTGCTTTCTCTCATAACATCTGAAAAGCTATTATCAATAAAGTGTAATCAAACCTAATACAATTCACCCTAACTCAGTAAAGAACTATCTGACCTTATGTTCATTGTGCAAACAATGTAAGTAATTGTAGAACATGTTTCTAATCTCCAACTCCGCAGCCATTTGCTACGTACCCACTTCTTAACGCACCAAGTCCTACGCAATCACTTATCCACTTTCTGTCTGAACAGACTTGCCTATCTGCACGTTACATCTGTTCATCCAGTGATGGACACCCGGGCTTCCACATTTGGGCAGCTGTGGATAAAAGTTTCTGTGTGAACATCTGTTCTTTTTTTTGGGGGGGGGGGCAGGGCTATACTATAATACCATACTGAACTTCCCGAGGACATGCCTGTTTTCCAATGTGGCTACATCCCATTTTAGCCCCCACCAGTATTTTATGAAGATTACAATTTTCCCCATATTCACCAACACTTGTTATTGCCTGTCCCAGGGGAGGGGAAATGTGTGGGAGTCTGTCGGGAGTCCAGCTCCGACCTGCTTCCACCCATGGAAGGGTTCTTGGGTGGAGGAGAGAGGAATGAGAAAATATTAGGTAGAAAGATAGGAGACGATAAGAAAGACAGAGACATAGGATAACTTCAGGAGGGCCCTGGGTCAATACCCAGATGCCCAGAGCTTTATTCAAAAAGGCTTTTTATAATATGCCAAGGGGAAAGGCAAAAGGCCTCCCCCTTGCAAGATCAAAGCACATTGTATAGCCAAGTCTAGACCCTTCCAAACACCTGGCAACCACATCTGTGGTCAAATCATCCTATTACGCAGTCCTGCTAGGTAAAGCAAGCTCAGATTCCATGACCCTGAGTAAGGTCTCACTAGGAAGCCTCTGTGGTCCACCACAGAAATGGAATCAAACTGTGGTTGATTCCATCTCCTTCCTGAATGGTGATGTTGAGTATTTTTATGTTTTCTGGCCATTTCCCTTTCTTTGATAAAAGAATGTCAGGAATATACTCAATGTCTGTTATATGCTAGGTGTTCGGGGTCACAGATTTTTTTTTTTAACTAGCTATTTTTAATACTGAGATGTAGTTTTACTTAATTTTGACTTTTTAAAGATATAGTATTTTAGCTCAGACTAGCCTTGAACTCCAGTTTCTCCTGCCTCCATTACATGAGTGTTGTGATCACACACATATGCCACCATGTCCAATTTTATACCATGTGTTTTCTTGTTTTTAATTAGAAACTCTTTTCTATCCATCTTCTTTCCGCTTTGCTTAAGTGCTTGGAGAAGAATAGCTATGGCTAATTGTGGTCATTTGGTTTTTAGAAGTAAATTATCTTGTTTTTTCTAGATCCTTGACTGCCCTACCCCAGGGACCCCAGTAATGGCCAGCTGGGGAAGATATTTATTGATCGCCTGATATTTTTAACAATGCTCTAATCCAGTGGTTCTCAACCTCTGGGTTTTGACCCCTTTGGAGATCGAACAACCCTTTCACAGAGGCTGCCTAAGACAATCAGAAGACACAGATATGTATGATTCATAACAGTAGCAAAATTAGTAGCAAAATAATTTTATGGCTGGGGGTCACCACAACATGAAGAACTGTGTTAGAGTGCATAGCGTTAGGAACGTTGAGAACCACAGCACTAATCGCTAGCAGTGGTCAGCTGTGGGCTAAAAAAGGGAACTCTGCCTTCCTTCCAGGCTGTAACTTCCTTTCTGGACTGTGACTACCCCAGCTTGTAAGCACTGTGGATTCTGATTCTCATAGAGAACCCCCTCTGCAAGTTCCCCCTCCCCGCAAAATAAATAAATAAATAAATAAAGGACGGCAGAGTTTTGTTTGTTCTTTCGCCTGCCTTTTGCCTTGCTGACCTTTCAGCGACCACTTGGTAGTTGCTGGGATCCATTCAGTGGCTGAACAGTGGGAGCTGCAGTGCAGCCCTGTGGCTCAGGCACAGGGGCACCTGAACGCTTTCGACCAGTCTGCCAC